TGCAAATTATATCAGGTATGAGAAAGGTATCACCTTGTCAACAGTCAAAACCTCACAAGTAAGGCCTTCTGATTCTCATTCTACAATTGAACTAAGCGAGCATTCTGTAAACAGTTTCGTTAGTATGACGTCATGCAGCTTAGCAAGGGCCAAACAAAAAATATGAATTGTCAATAATCGGAACTGATCACACCGCAATAAACTTTTTTCTACCGAACTCAAACACAGCTTTGCAAATTCTTCAATTCAAATAACTTACTTGTGTTTTGTTCTTGATGTATGACCAAGTCTCGGTGGAGAAGTTTGAGTTCTAAAGAGCAAGCTGCAAGCGTAGTACTGTTTTTTCTCGATATCAATGATGTCTAAAGCCCTTTTTATGTGGCGGCAAATATTCAGAGCTCCGGTGGTAAAGAACACTTTTTCACCTGATCGTTGGTAACGGCAATTTGGGGAAAGAACAGATCCTCGGATTAGATCTCAATGTTTTTCAAAGGTATTGTCCAAGAAAGTGTATGATAGTTATGGTCACGTATAAAATGACTACTTCTATTTCTAGTTCTACTAGTGTGTGTAAGCCTTAAAAGAGCACGTTCGATATATTAATATTTTGACATTGCTCCGAGGTTTTCAGGACAAAATTCTGTATTAAGTGGCGTTTTCTCTGCGTCCAAGTATTTTTTTGAGAATTGAGGGACAGGAGAAACTTTAAATAAAAATCAATTTTTTCCTAAAAGCCTCAGGTCCATGTTAAAATATTGACAGATCAAACGAGACATATCAGTAAAGAGAGTTATATTATGAAAATCCATACTTTTCGTTTTACAGGATTCATGTATATAACAAAGCCGTTCATTATTGTTTTAGAGACCGCGTAGAATAGGCCAAAACAATTTTCTCATATTGACTTACTAGGGGAAATAGGGAAAAGATCAAATATTACCACGATCTCTCTAAGATGGTACGAAGTTAGTGTCAGAAAAGCGTCTATATAGACTAATAGCTAAAAAGAACAAACATTTCAAGTAAACATCCCGAAATCATTCGGAAACTGTTATTTGTTTTGCCTTCTGACTTTCTTCTTGCAAAAATATATGAAACAAACATTTAGCAGTGACCTATTTCGATTAAGTGCCAGATATGCAAAACAAAAAAGAATGTAAAGCCTTAATACTAACAGACGAGAATGTTACAAAAGTGGAAAGGAAATGACCCAAAAGTGCGTTATCCAGGAATCGGATGTTTTGTTCTTAATTTATTCTGCCTTAAATTGTGTTGTTTGCTTTATATTCCATTAGTCTGGATAGATAACCCCTTCAGGATATCACTCAGCTTCGCCTGAAGCAAAATTCATGTAATTAAAGGGATGGTACTGTTTTATAACCTATATACATTAATCGATAACAAGCGCGTTCAGGAGACCCGAATCATAATCATTTATTTCTATAATTTCTCTAATCTATTTTTCGTTAAAACTTCTTTAAAACTGCTCTGAAATATTATTTACGGCAAACGTCTATGCGTAAAATATATTTCTCTTTAGAGTTTCGCGAAAAATCGTTTTGTCAGACTTTAGACATGTCTATCTTTTTTTTCTTCAGATAATTAGATGAAAATATTGCTTCACATCGAAAAAAATGCCCTCATTATGACAAGCGAGTCTATTTATTTTTCCGCGAAACGAGTTGAATTGTAATAATTCGGCATTTGTTGGAGAGTTTGAAAAAGGTGTCAGCAAATTGAATTGATGGATTAGAGACGATTTTGGTCGCGAACAACAGAAACTAAACATAATATCGAATTGACCGCCTACATTCTAATTATAATTAACACCATTTTTCCCTAGAATCTTTTCTCTTTTCCGATATTTATAATCGGACTAGTTTTTACCTATGTAGCTGTACTTTAAACACTTTTAGATTCCTTCTGATCATGCGGACACACGAATCAGGATTTACC